CTGACAGAGGCGGAGAGTTCTCCTCTGGCCTTCTGCGAGCCTACTGTCGTGCACGAGGCATCCGCCAGACCTTCACGCTTCCGGACTCTCCACAGCAAAATGGGATTGCTGAGCGCCGCATTGGCATGGTCATGGACGTCGCCCGTACGTCCATGATGCATGCGGCTGCCCCCCATTTTCTGTGGCCGTTTGCGGTTCGGTACGCGGCGCATCAGATCAACCTTCAGCCCAGGGTCTCCATGCCGGAGACCTCCCCAGCCTTGCTGTGGACGGGGAAGGTTGGCGATGCGTCTGCGTTCCGTGTCTGGGGATCTCGGGCGTTTGTCCGCGACTTGTTTGCGGACAAGCTGTCCCCTCGTGTTGCTCCTTGCGTCTTCCTGGGTTTCCCCCCTGACGCCCCAGGGTGGCAGTTCTACCACCCCACCTCTCGCCGTGTTCTGTCCTCCCAGGACGTCACGTTCGACGAGTCGGTCCCCTACTACCGCCTCTTCCCCTACCGCACTCCGTCCCTCCCCCCGCCACCGCTCTTCCTGGTACCAGGTCCCCCCCCGGTAGACCCCCTCCCCCCTCAGGGTCCTGCCCCTTCAGGTGTGTCCCAGGTAGACGCTGTTGAGCCTGTCGAGGTCGCTGGTGACTCTGGTGCTGCTGAGGGTGCTGAGCCTGGGAGTGCTGACTCTGGGGGTGCTGAGCGTGTGGGTGCTACGCCTGGGGGTGCTGAGCTTGAGGGTACTACGACTGGGGGTGCTGAGCCTGGGGGTGCTGAGTCTAGGGGTGCTACGCCTGGGGGTGCTGCGTCTGGGGGTGCTGAGCCTGGGGGTGCTACGCGCTGAGCCTGGGGGTGCGGAGCCTGAGGGAGCTGGGCCTGCTGGTGCTGTGCCTGGCGGTTCTCCGGGTGCTTCTTCTCGCCGGGAGCCACTCTCTCCACAGGAGCTGCGTGAGTGGTTTGCCCGGCGCTGGAGGCGAGCTGCTGGAGCTGGAGGAGCTGCGGGTACTGGAGTTTCTGTTGCTGCTGAGAGAGCTGGTGCCACGGGTCCCGGAGGTGCTCGTACTGGGCGTACTGGAGCTGCTGGACCTGCGGGTACTTCTGGAGCTGGAGCTGCTGCGGGTGTTGGCGCGGAGGCTACTGCTGTCGGTCCTGGAGGCGGTCCTGGTGGGGGTACTGCTGGTGCTGCTGGGGGTACTGGAGCTGGAGCTGCTACTGGTGCTGGTGCTGCCACAGGGGGTGCTGGTGCTGTCCCTACTGTGTCTGGAGTCGCCGCGCGGCCTCGGCCGTACTTCGTTCCGCTCCTTCAGCAGGTTCTTGGTCTCCCGTCTTCTACTGGTCCTCCTCCTCCCTTAGAGTGTCCACAGCCTGTCCCGTCGCAGTTACAGTTACAGCCGGCCTCCCCACTGCCTGCTCCGTCTCCCTACACTGGTCCTACTGGAGGTCTTGCTGAGCGTCGTGAGCCTGCGTCTCGCCCTGCGTCGCCTGTCCGTGCTGCTCGCACTAGTGGTCGTGGTTCGCGTCAGCGTCCTCCTCCTGTCCCTGGCACGCACCGGATGTCTCTGCGTCCGTCCACTGCTCCTCTGCGTGCCCCTTTGCCTTCTCCTCCAGCGTCTTCTCTTCCTGCTCTTGCCGACCCGGAGTCGGACTCTCTTCGTGCTGCCAGTCCTACTGTCACGCGTCTCCTTGCTACTGTTGTCACTGACCCTTCCTTAGAGTCCACTGCTGCGTCTGCCCTAGTTGCTGAGCTCGTCGACTTTGCTGCTCGCTGTCGCCTAGACTATGTCGCCAGTCTTGTTGCTGAGTCTGAGTCTGTCTGTCCTCCGTCCGTCGGGGGTGAGTGTGCCCTTGGCACGGACGTCCTTGAGGACAGGCAGGAGGAGTTCCAGTGCTTGGCCGCTGCTTCACCTCATCTCGTGTCCGTACTGCTTACCCCTGAGGGAGACCCAGATGCACTTGACATCCCGACTCCGCGCTCTTACGCGGAGGCGATAGAGGGTCCCTACTCCTCTCAGTGGCAGGCAGCTATGGACGCAGAGATGGCTTCCTGGAAGTCCCCCTCCTGGGGCGAACATCGTCAGTGGCATGTGGATTTTCAGGGTGAAGCGGCCGCCGGGTTCTCCGCCTGTCTTCAAGGCGCGTTACGTGGCTCGAGGCTTCAGTCAGCGGCAGGGAGTTGACTACTTTCAGACCTTCTCTCCCACCCCGAAGATGACCACTCTTCGGGTACTGCTGCACGTAGCTGCTCACCGTGACTACGAGCTACACTCTCTTGACTTCAGCACTGCTTTCTTGCAGGGCAGCCTGCACGAGGAGATCTGGCTGCGTCGCCCACCTGGTTTCACTGGGTCTTTTCCTCCTGGCACCCAGTGGAGCCTACGGCGGCCAGTCTACGGTCTCCGCCAGGCACCGCGTGAGTGGCACGACACACTGAGGACTACACTTGCGGCTCTTGGGTTTGCTCCCTCTACTGCCGACCCGTCGCTGTTTCTGCGCACCGACACTTCTTTGCCGCCGTTCTACATCCTCGTGTACGTCGACGACTTGGTCTTTGCCACAGCTGACACTGCTGGACTCGCCCACGTGAAGTCCGAGCTGCAGAAGAGACACACGTGCACTGACCTGGGTGAACTGCGCAGCTACCTTGGCTTGCAGATCACTCGGGACAGAGCACGCCGCACCATTACCCTGACTCAGTCACACATGGTGCAGCAGGTCCTTCAGCGCTTCGGCTTCACGTACTCCTCGCCTCAGGCCACTCCTCTGCCTACTCGCCACTCGCTCTCAGCTCTGCCTTCGGATGAGTCCGTAGAGTCGAGTGGCCCGTACCCAGAGCTTGTTGGCTGCCTCATGTACCTGATGACCTGCACACGACCTGACCTTGCATACCCTCTTAGCATTCTCGCACGCTATGTTGCTCCTGGGAGACACAGACCGGAGCACATGGCTGCAGCGAAGAGGGTGTTGCGCTACTTGTGCAGTACGTCGGGCATGGGGCTTGTGCTTGGAGGGCAGAGTCCAGTGGTCCTTACTGGGCACGCAGACGCTTCTTGGGCTGACGACCAGGCTACGCAGCGGTCGTCACAGGGTTACACCTTCAGCCTTGGTTCCGGCTCTGTTTCGTGGCGGGCTACTCGCTCGTCTTCTGTTCTCGGCTCCAGTTGTGAGGCTGAGATCTACGCAGGAGCCATGGCTGCACAGGAGCTTCGCTGGCTCACCTACCTGCTGACTGACCTCGGAGAGCCGCCTCGTTCTCCTCCAGTGCTGTACGTAGACAACAAGGCCATGCTGGCCTTGTGTCGGGAGCAGCGACTGGAGCACAGAACGAAGCACATTGCTCTCCGCTACTTTCTTGCTCGTGAGCTGCAGCAGCGTGGTCAGCTGCGTCTTGCGTACGTGGCCTCTGAGGCCAACACTGCTGATATCTTCACCAAGGCGCTTGCGCCTTGTGACCATCAGCGCTTCTGTACTCAGCTGGGCCTTGTGCCTACCTTGCCTCACTTGCTCACCTCTTGACCTTGCTTGTGCTGTTACATATATATATACCTGCTCTTGCTTGTCTAGCCTTTATATATATATGTACTCCTGCATGTGAACTGGCCTTGTGGCCTTGAACTTGTGCTCGGAATGTGTGGTGACTTTGTGATCCACCCTGAGCTTGCTTTGCTTTGCTTTACTTGACTGGTCTTGTGACCCCTTGTTCTCCCCCACTTTGCCTATGGGGGTGTGTCAGAACATTATAGCTCATGCATATTGTGTAGGCTATAGTGGGGTAGCCCACAAGGGGTACAACCCAATTAGGGTCATTACTTGTACCCAATTCATTCATAGTTCATTCATTCCTTGTTTCTTCTCAATGTATGCGTGTATTTGCGTGCGTATGCGTGTGTAAATTCAACCATTACAATAACAATGCATGTCTGTGATTTTTAATAAGAAAGCTCAACTCTATCATTTCACAAAAGGTTCATTGGCGCATTCAGTGACTCGTGTGCGACCACTTCGAACTGGATTTGATAGAGTTGACTTTTTTTTTAGATTTCACAGATTGTGTTGTTTCATGTGACAGTTGATTATTCAAAAGTTAAGCTATTGACCTTCCCCCCATGCTAGGCAGGGGATGGCGGTAGCTTAGTTTTTGGGTTGTTAACTGTCACGCATATTATCGTGTGCATGTGCATCATTCATGATATATCACATTAAGCATTATGCATTGTATAGCATCATTTATGCATTATGCATGCATCTATTTATTATTGTCACAACAACATCTACCGTAACAATAAACATATAAACCAAACAGTACAACAAAGGTGCACAAAACAACTGCAAAAAAAAACATATGGTTTAGTGCACTGATAACAGTACTGTATTTAAAACTGCTCAACATGCATACAGTATGGGAAGGGTACGATTGTAGTTTACAAATTTTATTTTAATTATTTATAAAAAAAATATAAATATGAAAATAAAATTTGGCAAAATCGATTATAAAGGGTTGCTTCGCAACCCAAAAAACAAAAACCCTCTCAGATGGCATGATGCCATCCGAGGGAGGCATCGACCCTCGTCTGTCCGTTGACATTTATCTTCCCGATTCTCACAAGAAGTATTTTATTTCCCGAGGAAGGATTGTAACCTTTTCCGAAAACCTCTCTCCCTCCGGTCTCCCCCGCGACTCCGTACCGCATTGTACTGAACCGTCCGACGCGCCCCCCCACAGGGCGAGTACCGACCGCCGTCGTTGGACTGGGACTTCTCCCGCGCGTCGTCCGCCGAGTCCGCCCTCTGCGGCTCCTGGCCCGCCGACTACGCCGCGCGCCACAGCGCCATCCGCCAGGCCAGCGCAGCCGCGCACGCAGCGCACGCGGAGCTCGTCAAGCAGACCAGGGGGAACGGGGTTTTCGCGTGGTTCGGGCCCCCGACCCCCCCGCGCCCGTACGACCCCGCCGTTCGCTTCCTGACGTTCGAATGGCTCGACGGGTGCGGCGGGTATGGCGACGCGCTCAACGGGCTGATGCTCGCGTTCGTGACGGCCGTGCTTGACGGCCACGCGCTCATCGTCCGCCATGACTGCCTGCCGGACGCGTTCTTGCCGGCCATGATCGACTGGCGGCTGTCGGACGACGTGCTGCTGGAGCCCGCGAGAGTCGTCACGGCGCCCGGCTACAACTGGGACGGCGTCGTGAGCGCCGCGCGCCCCGAGGCGCCAGCGAAGGAGGGGGAAGTGGTGCGGCTGGACATGCGGAACTCACGCGTGGAGCTAGCTACCTATTTCAAGGCCCTCGAGAACGCCACCAACATCCGGCTGTCGGCGAATCTGGGCGCGCTGACGCACCTGGCGACCAAGGCGACGGGCGAGTGGGCGGAGCGGTTCAAAGAGCTGGGCATTCGCCTACCGTACGCCGTGGGTTGCTTCCTCCGGTTCCTCCTGCGGTGAGCCGTGTGTGTCGGCGCGGGGCACGGCACGTGGGGGCATGTGGACGGATGGGGGAATGTGGGCGGCTGTGCGGCAGGGGAACGGAGCAAGTGACACCGTGTGCTGTAACTGAACCCTTCGTTTGACAGAAACGGCAGAGCGTGCTTGTACCTCGTGTTTCTCCCCCCAACCAATCCGATCCCGTTCCATTATTCAAGTGCATGCCACCCTCCCCCACGTGCGTGCCACACCACTCTGCACCGCACATGGGCGTAGGCCGCGGGACGAGGTGAGGAAGCTGTTCCACAGCATCATGCAGCAGCTCAGAGCGCGCATGGGGGGAAACCACAGCAGCAGCAGCGGTGCGCAGCAGCAGCAGCTGCAGCAGCGCGTGGCGACGATGGGCATTCACATCCGCGTGCAGGACGAGGTGGTGTGGGCGGGCGACCGAGGCAAGCCCAAGGAGCTCACCTCGCAGCAGATGGACGCGCTGTTCGGCGACGCCAAACAGTGGCTCGACTGCGCTCAGGTGTGGGATGGCGGGTGGACTGGGGGAAGCCGTGATGGCGATGCGTGCAGGAAAAGATGGGTGAGAGGTGGATGGATGGTTGGGTGGATGGGTGGATGTGCGATGGTGGGATTGGTTGAGGGGTGCTGTGTAAGCATGTGTGCACATGGTGTTGTGGATGGGGGGTGGCATGTGATGATGATAATGGCCAGGTATGCATCATCTCGCCAGCGAATTGTGCTCTTGCATTCCACCTACCCACTCCCCCACTCATTTTTCCACCCACCAGCCGATTCAGCTTCTCCCATAATGGCCACTCTTCGCTCTCGTCGCTGACTTGGACCCTTCCCCATGTCTCCGATGGCCTGTCAAACAGCGGCAACTCTTGCTTCCGCTTATCACTTCCCTCGTCCTCTTATTCCACCTTTCTTGCAAATGCCTCGACCTGTGTCCCGGTGCCATCAGCGGGTGGAGGGGTACTGGTTCCCGTTGTCCCTTGCGGTGCGATGGATGCTCATCACCAACTCAGCGCAGCTCAAGGCTGCCATTAAATCCAAATACCCCGACAAGGTGTGTGTGCGTTTTTTACGTGCATGTATGTGCGTGGGTGCTCGTGTGCGTGCACACGTGCGCGTGTGCGTGCACACGTGCGCGTGTGCGTGCCTGGCTGCATGCGTGCATGCATGTAGTGTTCGTGTATGTGCCTGTTCATGTACATGTGCCTTTTGTGCACCGGTGCGTGCGTGCGTGTGTGTATACGCGTGCATGTGGGCGTGCGTGCGTGCATGTGTGTGCGTGCGCTTGTGTGCGTGTGCGTGTTTGCGTGCGCGTGCGCGCGCGTGCGCGTGTGTGTGTGTGCATGTGTGTGTGTGTGTGCATGTGTATGCGTGTGTGTGTGTGCATGTGTGTGTGTCCATGTGTGTGTGTGTGTGTGCGCGTGCGCACACACGCATGTGTGTGGGTGCGTGTGTGTGCATGCGCGTGTTTGTGCGTGTGTGTGCGTGTGCGCGTGTGTGCGTGCATGTGTGTGCGCGTGCGTGTTTACTTTTGTGTGTGTGTGTGTGTGTGTGTGTGTGCGTGTGTGTGTGCGTGCGTGCATGTGTGTGCGTGTGTGTGTGTGCGTGCGTGCATGTGTGTGCACGTATGTGCGTGAGCGCGCGCTTGTGTGTGTGTGTGCATGTTTGTGTGTATGTGCGTGCGCGTATGTGTGTGGGTGCGTGTGTGTTCAAACGCGTGTTTGTGTGCATGTGCATGTGTGTGCGTGCGTGCGTGCGTGTGTGTGTTTGTGTGTGTGTGCGTGTGCGTGTGCGTGTGCGTGTGTGTGTGCGTGTGCGTGTGCGTGTGCGTGTGTGTGTGTGTGTGTGTGTGCGTGTGCGTGTGCGTGTGCGTGTGCGTGTGCGTGTGTGTGTGTGTGTGTGTGTGTGTGCATGTGTGTGCCTGCATCTCTGATCTGTGCCCTCCTCCACTCCCATGAGCACTGCGAATGTCCTTCCATTGATAAACGTATCGTTAAGTGGAACACTTTTCGGTATAGCGCAGCTCATTCCTCACTAGCTGACTGCATCGTTATGGAGTAGGTATCATGAAGTGTACGCGCTCCGCTTGCTGCACCGCAGGGTGCAGCACAAAGGTTAGGATGCTGCCGCTGCTCCGTCTGCTGCTGCAGCATTAGTTGGAGAGAAACACACAGCAGGCTTTTGCACCATGGTTTCATTTGTTAGCATCTATGAGCGGACACGCACATTAAATTGTCTTGAAATAAAGGGTGTACGATCGCTACATGGTGCCCCTGTTTGCATGCAGGTCGTCACAACAGATTTTGTCCCACGGCATTCCAATGGTCTTGCGTCAGGAAAGCACAAGGGTTTGTTGAGCATAACGGGCAGGAAGCAGGAGCAGGCAAGAATGTTCCAGGAGCTGGTCACCGAGTGGTTGCTCCTAGCGGCATGTGATGCGTATGTCATTTCTAGATCCGGAGACTCGCACACGGCCGTGTTTTACTCCATGCGGACGCTGGCCATCTTTGAGTATGACAGGTGTGACCCAGAGCAACCAACCCAGGCAACGTACATGGGGGAAGATTGGAGTGGGGTTTGATGAATCAATGCTTCCATTCCATAGGTGCTTTAGGTTTCATCTGTTGGAAACAATTGTGGTTAAGCGCCTCTGTCGTGTCGAAACACTAAGGCACAAGCGAAGCAAAGCATATCGAGGTACCAGCGAGTCAACCCTCGCATATCGAGGTACCAGCGAGTCAACCCTCGGAGGTTGAAGTAACTGCTGGAGGTTACGCGAAAGTCAAAGGTCAGCGACCTTTGACCTGACAAGTACAGCGCGACAGCAACGACACACAACTGACTCGCTACAGAGCAGTTGCCCGAGTCGTCACTGTATCGAACCGCAACAGCAACAGTAAAACAGTTATAACCGTATCCTTTCATATTCCTTGTACTCTTATATAATCTTGTATCTCTTTGTTTTAATCAACTTACTTTGCCCTCACATACTAGCGCAAGGTGGTTCACAATCTCTTCATTAAACGCTTCCGCTATTACATTGATCCTACCCAGAGTTCACCCCTGCAAAGATCCTAAGGGCTTTTTCTCAGCCCAACATGGTATGAGAGCTCACAGGGGAAACTCAACTACCATCAAGTCATCAAAAGCATTACAAGACATGGCAACACAGAAGGAAAGGAGTTCCTCTAACGGTTCTCCTGGCACCACTCCTACTCCACCTCCTACCTCTGGCCTACAGACAGAGGAGGGAACTGCAATGGGACCAGCAGCACCTTCGGCGAATCAACCTGCAGACTTCGATCAAAGCATGATGGAGAAATTCTTCTCCTTCATGTCCTTCTACGAGCAACACCAGCAATCGGCACCTGCGCAGTCACATAATAGCAACAACAACGGAGCAACTCCCATGAGCCTCGACGGCTCATCATACGCACGAGGAAATCAACAGCAGCAGCCTACCTTTGCTCCGTACGAGCGCGGGTCCATCAGCTTCATGCCGAACCCGCAGCCTTCACCTGGACAAGAAAAGCCACTGGACGCACTGCAAGTTCAGTCGCAGTTCGCGCACGTCTTAAAGCTGCAGACAACGAGGCCCTTCGATGGAAAGGATTTCTTCACCTGGTCGTTCGAATTCGAGTTAATGATGGAAGGCGCGCAGATACTTGGCTTCTTCGACGGGTCCCTGCCATACCCAACGAACGGCACACAGTATGAGAAGCAACAGTACACCTACCAGTCGATGATGGCATACACGATTCTCCTGAGAAACATCACCCCGACCCAGCAGCAGAATATACGGTCTTACCGGGGTTACGGCAACTCCGCGGAGCTCGCATACAGCCACTTGAAGAATCTGTATCAAGCAACAGACAGCGTAAACCAGAGTCGGTTAATGGCGCAATTGACAACAGTCGAAATGAAACCAGGCGAGAAGGGAATGGCGTATATCAGCCGATGTCGCGAGCTGCGCGACAAGCTTCTTCGATGCGGAGGGTCGATTTCTGAAGACGCCTTCGTGACAGTCATCATCGGCGGCCTTGGTCCTCAATGGCGCGCCACAAAGGCCATTCTCCGAGCCCACGGAAGAATCTCCGAAGCAGCACTCTGCGCAGAAATCCATGCCGAGCAGCAAGACATGGACCTGCAAGAAGAACGACACAAGAAGAAGATATCAGCACCGGAATTCGCATTCCACACTCAGCGACGCTACAACAACTACAAACAACAACAACCGAAGTCCGTACCTCCTTTCTGCCACATCTGCAAGACGTCAGGGCACCCGCGCACACACTGCCCGAATCGACAACAGTCAACTCCACCGCAACGGCAGCTTCGACCCTCCAGCAGCCAAGTGGCATCAACGCAGGCAAACCCCACGAGCCAGTCGAAACCGTCAACAACACAACCTGCACAAGGAGCAAGAAACATCGTCAGCTGCATGGCAAAATTGACCGATTCCTGCATCACCGAGTCACCGCCACACTACTCACCGGAAGAACAACTCGATAACACCGCACCTCGCCGCGAGTCATTTCAGCCGAACCCAACATACGCAGCCATCGCTCAAAGCGAGCCATCCGGGAAGGACACGTGGTTCTTGGACAGTTGCTGCGGACAACACATGTGTTCTTCAGGACGCTTCGTGCAGCGAGAGTATCAACTTCAACACGAAGTAGTCATCACCGTCGCCAACAATCAGAACCTGCGCACACGACGACAAGGCGTGGTACAACTTCAATCACGAGAGACAAATGTCGTTCTACAGATGTCTAAAGTTTTAATCGCAGAAGGCCTCGGCTACAACTTACTGAGCGTTAGTCAGTTGATGGCGAAGGGTATTCACCTCGAGGCAGACAGCACCACCCAGGAGTTCAAGCTGTACCACGGGAAGGGCGGCCTCTACATCGGAAAGGCGATCCTAAAAAATAACGTCTTCGTTCTTGATTTTGTTCCAGATCTCGGCACAGCAGACAGCGACGGCATCGTCACCTTCACCTCCTGGACCCACCCTCCAGATCTTGATCCAGACTTCAGTCCAGAAGGCTTCTGGTACTCACACACCATTCCTGAGGCAGAAAGAACAAGGGCATTAGCAACAATACAACATTCGGCAGCAGCAGAGACAACACCGGCAGCAGCAGAGACAACATCGGCAGCAGCAGAGACAACATCGGCAGCAGCAGAGACAACATCGGCAGCAGCAGAGACAACATCGGCAACAGCAGAGACAACATCGGCAGCAGAAGAGACAACGACAGCAGCAGCGGCAACATCGACACCAATCACTGGTTCTTCAACGACACCAATCTTCATCGACGATTCGCCACCAACACCCGCACAGCAGTTAAACCCGACCCAACGAGAAGTCCACCGAAGCGCCAACCTCACCGCCAGCTTCTACTCCAACTCCGATCTGTATCGACGATCACCCGGACATCGCGCCGACGAAAGCACCTGGCACGCAAGGATGGGACACCCAAACAACACAGTGTTAAATAATACGATAAGAGCAGGAGTGCTCGACAAGGACTCACTACTACTAACCGACGGGAGAGAACTTCAACGAGCACGTGGAACATGCTTCACCTGTCCTGAAGCTGACTTACCGCATCAGCCGTTCACATCTCACCACAATCCTAGTGCTCCGGTCTACGCGTGTGAGAGTACGACGGCTTATGCCAGCTATGCTTGCTTGCCTTTACTTTATTATGCTATTTCTAGCATAGGAAAATTATATGCATGCATGAATTGCTTGATTTCCTAGGCTAGGTGCTTTCCTATATTTTATTATAGTTATAGCACCGAGCTAGGTTGCGTGCACCGAATTCTGGCTTTTCGGTTGCCACCGAATTGCCTTCTACCGAATTCGGGAAGGATCTGTTCGGGACGCTTCGCGACCCGCGGAACCTTCGCGTAACACCTGGTTACGGGGCCTTGTGTCAAGCCTATATATAGCCTCGTGTTGTACCCAGGTGATCAATTCAATTCACATTCTCTTTTCTGAGCTCGATCCTAGATCCTCACACTTGGTAATCAGAGCCCGTTTACACG